TGAGGGATAAAGAATCACTACAATTTGCCCAAGTTAATTAATTATAATACTAGTAGGTATATCCACTTAACTTGTATATTATGTTCTAATCTTAAACCAGTCATAAGCCAAAAGTTTCCCTAATTTTCTGGTCTCTTTACTTCAAAGAAACCTCCATACTAAAGCTATGACATTCTGTTTTCACAACATAAATAATTGTTGATCAATTTTTGGATTTCATAGGGACAACATAAATTAATTCTGATAAATTTTTGAACGTCATAGGATCTTGGTATTCCTCACTCTGCATAATGAAATGCTTAAATACCACTTCAAACTTGTTGAGGGATAAAGCATTGCCAAACCTAGAAACTATGTATTTCTAATATTTGTATCACAGCAGTATAAAGCTTCCATGAAGGTTTTTCTGGTATTAATATAGTCTTATCATTGTAAATAAACAATTCATTGCTCACATCTTCTTTCAATTTAAAGATAATAAATCATTAAAATCTATACTACTATTATAAAAAGCATTTGTATTTCTTCCCAAATAGAATCTTAGCCTTCTATTTTAATTATTCATATAAAATTCTAGCCTTTTTTTAGTTATTATTATTGATTAACAACTTTAATCGAAGTTAAGGATGTCCTTATCATCATTGATGGCGATCACTTATCCGTATGTGATGTGTATCCTGTTGGGTGTTGAATAAATCATAGATTATTGTGTGGGTGTCCCAAGTGTACTTTAACACTATTATCTTATTTAGCTTTGTCACTTCAAATTCAAATCTTCATTTGAATTGGGTTGATCAATCCAATTTGTGCAAAGAGGATGGTTGAGTTGCGATATTGATCATCAATACAAGGATTTCCCCAATTGTCTACCTTGAAATTTTTTCTTATGGGCGTCCTTCAAAAGTTTACTCATAAAAATTCCTTGGGCAACCTCTAAAAGTCTAATCATACATTCATTAAAGCCATGTCCCACCAAGTGATGGACTATACATTCAATCTATGTACTCTGAGTCAAGTAGATCTTTTTGGTCCATCTTAACCTACTTGGTCATATCATTATATTATTACATATGAATTTGTCTATTTAGCTTAGATCACTTCTCAAGAGGAATGGGGCAAGGGAGAACCCTTTGTTACATGTACCCTAACAATAACATGAGTCACAATACTAAGATCAGCTTCGCTTATTAAACAAGAGGTTCTCATAATGTCCACTAAAATTATCTTCATTCTCCATGAAACACAAAATAATATTCTATTCAAATAGGTAATTAAAATAGGAATAAGATAAAAATAAATAAAAAAGTGTTCTGATGGATAATTAGTGAGTCCATTTATTTTAAATGTTATTAAACAATTAGATTTTTTAAATAGATTATTAAATTTTTTGTATTACATAAATACTCCTCTTGTGGAGAAAATTAGATAATGCAAACATTTAAAGAATAAAGCCTTGATGGCTACTCCATCTATCCCTCACTCTCTTAGAGTTGTAGGCATCCTTGAATTACCTAAAACCTTCTCCCTCAACTACTTGGAGCATTAGGCAAACTTGATGTTGCATAGTTATCTTGTTTCTTTCTATTTTCTAAAATATTCCAATTCTTTGCGCTTTTTTATGTGTAACAAAAATGCTCTTGTTGACCTCGCTGTCATGGGGTGCTTTGTCTCCACCTTGATTTTCACCTCTATTATCATCCACGTGACCCCTATCTTGTGTCTGTGAGCAAATCCAAAAAAAAAAGTGTAGATATGTCTTTGTGTCACATTATGCTATTCATTCCAGTCGTCTCCTTCCCACTCTAATCACATCATCTCTAGATCCAATGAGATTTTCCCTTGAACTAGCCCTGCTATTCACACCATCCCTAAGATTGTCGCCTATATCCCTCTGTGCATGTATTCGTGAGATTCAACCAACCCTCATATGTCTTTCCTTTGTCAATGTCTTACATATTTGTTCGACACTGCACAATTATACCCGCCTCCCCTTAAATCCCCATCTCCATTCCAAGCATTATTTGATCCCTCCATCACTCTTCATCATCCAAATCTAACATTTTTGTTGTTGTTTCAATTATTCCCCGCAACTTCCTCACTTGCTCCCATGACCAATCCATATTCAAGATGTCATGAATCTCCATATGTCATCGTATCACACCTTCCAACCTCATCTTAGATCCATATCCATCTCAACCAGATCCAAGCCACAATGGCTCATTCCCGTCACTTACTACTGCCAGAAAACCCCATCTCCTCCGTCTAGTCATGGATAATCCCCAAATCTACCACCTTGAATTTATATATTTCGTCTCGTCGACATTCACCCAACCTCATATCTCGCCCAATCTTTGCATCCAAGATGGAATGACTTATCCTCAACCACCTCCAACCCAAAAATGCTTCATAGCCAACCAATGGCTCAAATCTCAACTAATTTTGCCATTTTTTAGTATGTATTTGACCTTAAGGTCATGGTTGATTTTCAATGAGTTTGATAATACAAATAAATGTAAGGGTGTTTTTAATGGATAATCAGTGAGTTCAATAAATTTATGGGATATAAAATATTATAGATCGTCTAATATGTTATTAGGTGTTTTCTAGCTTATAAATACTCCTACTGTGGAGAAAATTAGAGCATACAAACAATGAATGAACTAAGCTTTGATGATTGCTCACTTTCTCTATCGATCTCTTAGAGATGTAAGCTTCCTTAAATTATCTAAAACCTTCTCCCTAAACTATCCGTCATTTTAGCCAAGTTTGAAGTTGCCTAAATATTTTGTTTCTTGTGTTTTCTACTATTTTTCAATATTTTTTGTGTTTTGTTCATAACAGAATAATAATTAATCTAGTGAGCCCTAACCAACTTTAAGATGTTATCTTATGAAATACAAATAATGTGATAACAAAATATTTGATTAGTCAACTTGATATGAGCTCTTTGGATACTGAATTTATACAGGATTTTAGTAGAATTTCTGCTAAATTCTGCCAAACATAATCTAATACATCATCAAAAAATCATATTGATAGGGCATGAATCTCGAGGCAAAATCAAGTTGGAAACTTATGAAATTAAAATTGGGACCATTCAAACTCTGATTTCAGTAAATTTATAGTCAAACTGAGCATTTCAGAATTGCAAACCCAATGACACCAAAATCAACTCAATCCGTCCAATCGTAAAATTGTAGGAAGACTTACAATCTTTTTTTCACCACTGCAAGCTCAACCGAGATCTAGGGATGCATATACTCAGATTCACATTTATAATTAAGAGTCTCATCATGAAAGTTATATAATTTATATGCATCAGTCCAAAATACTTTATTTCATTAGTAACAAATATTTCTAATTATATTTCATTTAGTGGTACGAACACAAAAAATCATTTTTCATTTCAGTATGATAAATTAATAAACTTAGAGTTCGGGCTGTCAAAATCGGGTTATGGGTCAAGTTTGGGTCTAACCAGGAAGTAACCCAACACTAGTTGACCTGAACCGAACTTATCCAATTTTTTTTTTTTTAAATGGGTTACTTTCTTGGACCCGAACCCTAGCCGCTTTGGACCCGAGTCAACCCGACACAACCCGCCAACCCGTCTTTGAAGAAGGCATTGGTTGTAGCAAGCTCAACTCTCATGACTTCTGATTGGAAGTAACATTGTCAAAGGAGGTGTTAGAACTAAACAGTGAGCTCAAGCGCTCAACTATGTTGAATTTTAATCAAAAGGAACATCATGAAGGAGACATTGGAAGTTTGAACCAAATGGCAGAACTGGCACGGTCCGAGATGGTTAGGTGAGAGCGATCGCTGCCTAGGTGAGTGCAAACTGTGGATCGGTATGTGGGATGGAGAGGCAAGCCGAGTTTGGACCCATGGGCGGGAGAGGGAAAGAGGCGGATTCAGGTCGGGTTAGGTAAGTGTAGATGCTGGCAAGGTGAGTGCAAAATTGGTGTGGTCTGGGACGGGTAGGTGAGTGTGAAACTGGCGTGGAAGAGGGGGAGAGGCAGATCCAAGTCAATCAAGTCGCTTTCTAGTTTTTGAGTCAACCTGAACCTGATATAAAATTTCAAATGGGTTAGATTTATAAACACGAACATATCCTGTTTCAAAATTGAGTATGGTCTAATCCAAAATTTTGGGTCGAGTTCGAGTTGGGTTTTCAGGCCATGTTAAATATTGATAACCCTACTCAGAGTAAGTAGTAGTTTGGTGGCAATTTATTAGAACACTTTCCTGTGGGTTCGATACTCTACTCTATCACTTTATTATTTGTTCTGACACATATATTTACGTAATTTAGTAGGTTGTTATAAATTTTATATCTATGAGTCGTTACTTGAGAACTACATGTGTATTACAATTTTAAATTATTTTGTTTAAATAATTGCATATTTAAACCTACTTGTGTCTTGTATATTTGTTTTGTTTGCTAAAAATATTAAAAAATCCAAAAAAAAAAAATGTTTGACTATTTATTTTATGATTTTTAATTGTTGGAACATTGTTGTATGCATGGTTGATCTAATAATGAGCCATTATTATTTGATCCAGAAATAGAAATTATCCTTAATAAAATTTGAAAAAAAAAATCAAATGTCTAACCTAGTATAAGATCAAGATGATGCTAAACCACTTAGGGAATATACTAACCCTGTAGTAAAAAAGAATTCATCAAGGAATCAATATACCTACTATTTAGGCTAATTATTCTGAATTGAAATCGGTCAAAATAAAAATGGTTCAAAATTCTTAGTTTGGGAGAACTCTTGTTGAAGACCCCAAATTATATTTAGCTAGTTTCTTAGAAATCTATGTATTATTTAAGTAGAATGGTGTTAGATATGATGTCATTAGACGTAGATTATTCTCACTTTTCTAAGAGACAAAGTTGAGATGTTAAATTCTTTACCCTAAACTCTATAACCACTTAGAATGAGTTAGCATATAATTTTCTAGCTAAATATTTTTCACCTTAAAAATTTGTTATACTTAGAAATGATATCAATACTTTTTCCCAGTTTGAAATAGAATCAATTTATTAAAGTTAGGAGAGATTTAAGAAGTTGCTAAGAAAATGCCCTCATCATATTTTAACCTATTGGTTGGTCATTTAGACTTTTTATAATGAATTAGTAGGTTCTTTTAGGTTAATCATAAATGCTTCAGCTATAGGCTCTGCAATGTTTAAGCCATTTAGGATGCATATAAATTAAATGAGGAAATGACTACTAATAATTATCAGGGGCCTGCTAATAGGATGAATTCTAAGAGAGTAGTTTGAGTTTATGAATCAAATGCTTTGCCATTTCATATTGCTCCATGAGCAATTATTTCATAGAAATGAGATACTATAAAGTAATAGCTGCACTAATAGGTATAATAATTACCCTAATTCAATTAGTTATAATAAACATTCAAATGCTATAGCACAATATCATGCAGCAACGCAACATCACGCTTTAGGTTTTGAACAAAATGATTATGTTGGGAATGGGAACATACCATTGGAAGATGTTATTACATAATTGGGAATTCAACTACAATATCAATCTATTGGCCTCATAAAAATAGAAGACCATAACGGGATCTTGCTAGGTTGATTAATAATAAAAAAATTAGAAGAACAATGCAATAGAGTGGGAAAGATTTGGGAGACTATTATAAGTACAAAGATCTACCTCAGAAGAATTAAGGTGAAAGAGAACATATAGAATCCCACTATAAGAAAATTGCCTATTGCTAGCAGAGTTCTGGTGGACAAATTTCCAGCAATTTTTCTAACGAAATTCCTGCATATTATGATGAAATATTTCTGATATTTTTTACATATTTTCCGGCGGATTTTCGAAGGATTTGTTTTCGGTTGACTTTTTGGCATATTTTAATAATTTATGAAAAAATTATATTTTTGTAATTTAAATAATTAATTATTTTATAGTCATTTAAGTTTATTATTAATTTAATAATTTTAAATAAATTATTAATTTAATACCTTAGTTTATTTAATTATTAATTTAATAACTTATCTTAATTATAATAACTTAATTAATTATTAACTTTAATATTTTATTTTAATTTATTATTAAATAATTAAAATAAGTTATTAAATTACTAATTAAATAATTATTAATTTAATAACTTATTTTAATTAATTATTAATTTTATAGCTTATTTATTAAATTTAATAAAAATAGAATTTTTTGTCAGAAAATCTGCCAGTAATATGTGATTTTCCTGTAGTGACCTTTATTGAACAATCCAACTCTATAAGAGAATATGGAAAATATACCATGAAGGTAAGTTGATTAGAGATTTAAGAGATTTAAAAGAGCTTTTGGGTAGACTATTGATGACATCAAAGGAATTAGCCTGTCAATCTGTATGCATAAAATTTTAATGGAAGATGATTAAACACTAAAGTTGATCCTAAAAAAAAGATTAACCCTTCCAGAAAAGTAGTTAAGAAGGTGATTCTTAAATGGCTTGATGTTGGGATTGTCTATCATATTTTAGATAATTCTTGGGTGAGCCCTTTTCATTGAGTTCTTAAAAAGGGTAGCTTGATTGTAATATCCAATGAACACAATGCACTTATTTCTACCATAATTGTCACTAGGTGAAAACTTTGTATAGACTATAGGAACTTAAATAAGGCCACCACAAAAGATCATTTTCCCTAGCTTTTCTTGACTATATGTTAGATAGGTTGACAGAGCATTCATTCTACTATTTTTAGATGGATATTCTGGTATCACCAAATTCTTATAACACTAGAGAACCATGAAAATACTAGCTTCACTAGTCATTATGGGACATTTGTTTTTAGGAGAATGTCATTTGGTTATTTTAATTATTCTATTGTTTTTTAAAGATGTATGATGTCAATTTTTTTTAACTTAATTAAATAAGGTATTGAAATCTTCATTGATGACTTCCTATATTTGGCACTATATTGACTTTTATCTTGAGTATTTAACTTCTATTTTGAAAAGATGTGTCGAGACAAATTTAGTGTTAAATTAATAGAAATGTCAATTCATGCTAAAGGCATTGTTTTGGGGCATAAAATTTATAAGGATTGAAGATAGACTTTGCAAATATTCATTTTATATAAAATTTTTATCCACCCAAATTTATTAAAGGAATTAGAAGTTTTCTTGGCCATGCAGGATTTTATAGAGAATTCATTAAGGACTTGTCTAAAATTTTTAAACCTTTATGTTATTTATTGGGGGAAAAGTATTCCTTTTATTTTTAATACTACATGCCATGAAACTTTTAATACTTTGAAATAACATTTGATTAGTGCTCAAGTTATTATTGTTCTTGATTGGTCTTTACCTTTTGTAGTGATGTGTGATGCAAGCGACTTTACTATTAAAGCTGTTCTTGGTCAAAAGCAAGATAAAAATTCCACTTCATTTTTTATGCTAGTAGATGTTGACCTCATTTATGTATAAGGTCACTAAGACCCTCTTGTGTTTCTTTCTAATAACCCATTGATTGGAAAGTTTCTACTCCCTAATCATATAGGTCCTAGATAAGGCCCAAATTAAACTCAATCAAACACAACCCCACTTTCTAATCCAAATCTTGGATCAACCCCCAATCAGCATTCAATCAATTCTCCAACAACATTCAATCACTTTCCAAACCCCATCCAATCATCAATAATCATCTTTTTTATTGTTAGTGATATGGATAAGTCACCCCTAATCATCTAAATTTAAAGTCAAATCCAATTCCCAAGTTTTAAACCAATTCCAAGGGCTAAGGACTAAGGTCCTGAAACCCTTTACAGGGGAATTTTCAAATCCTATGAAACCAAGCCTAATGACCTCTGATTTAGTATCTATAAACTGCATATCATTTAGGCACGTCTCTAAGTTCTACCATCCAAATTTGAGCTCAATCCAACATTCTTAGTGCCTGAAACTAAATCTTTTCCCAAAAGTTGCAAAACCTTTTAATTATATACAATCCATGCCACTAATTTTCCATCCAATGGATCTTAACCTTGGGATCATTTTCGAACCTCCCAATTACACTCATGACCTCCAATAAGACTCACTAATCAATTATCTTCACTTTTCTCAGCCAAACGTGACCTAGAATTCACTAGGAGTCAAAATGACCATAATGCCCTTTTAAAGGGGTTTTAGTCTTTTCCGCCAAGTTCAATTCAACCTTCCTACCTCAATTCTCAAAACCCATCCCAAAGGATCCCAATCACCATTAGGAACATAATGGAATCAAACATATACTTATGTTTGACTTGGTTGACCAATTCAACCTTGGTTGACCAAGGTGACCCTTAAGGGGTTTGAATACCCATTTCTAACCAAATGCCTTTCTCTTGGCTTGCAACTAGGGCTGCAAATGAACCGAGCCAAGCCAAGTATATGAGTGTTCATGTTTGTGTTCATTTAATATCAGGTTGTTCAAGTTTGGTTCATGTTTGTTCGAGCTTTAGCGTTTGTGTTCATGTTTGGTTCATTTAAATTAAGGAGTGTTCATGTTTGGTTCATGTTCAGTTCATGTTCGTTCGTTTAGTGTTTATCGAGCTTGTTCGCGAACATATTTAACAAATTTTTTTAACTATAAAAAAAACACGTTCATGAACATATCTATGAACAAACACATTTATAATAAAAAGTAATTGTCCATGTAACAAAGGTAATGATTATTTATATTTATTAATTCTATAGTCAAATATTAATTATTTTTATAGAGCTTATTCACGAGTTCAAAATCGAACACGAATCGAGCTTCTTATCGAGCTTAATGTCGAGCTTGTTCACGAACTTCAAATGATGTTGTTCGCGAACATAAATAAGCCGAACTCATTAGTGTTCAAGTTTGTTTATTTAAGAATCGAGTATTTAAAATATTGTTCAAGTTTGTTTGTTTAGTTAATTAAACGATCGCAAACGAGTTTTAATCGAACTGAACATCGAGTAGCTCGTCAAATGTTTGGTTCGCTTGCAACCCTACTTGCAACTACACCCATTGAGTTCATATGATCAATTTGAACTCAATGGACTCAACTCTTAACCCTAGGTCAACTTGGTTGACCAAGACAATCAAGTTTGACCAAATCTTTCATACACCTCCAATCATTCAAATCCCTTGCCCAAGACCTTTCCAAACCCGTTTAGACCCATTGGGTCCTCAAGAGCCCTCCTTGAGGACCCAAGCTTTGGGTCCACTTGGGTTAGCCATTTGGCTTGACCCAAGTACCTAAAGGGAGGTCTCCCTTGAGCAATTCCCAAGTCCAATCCAAATTGGATCAAACCCACGGTGGCATTGGGTCTCCCTTAACACAATACACCTTCCCTAATCAACCCATCCATTGGTTTAGCTTGGGCTAGGAGTTAGGCTAACCCAAAGTGTCCAAAACCACTTGGGATTGAGCCAGCTCACTTCTTAATCCCAATTGAACCTAATCAACACCTCCACTAGGTGGCCCTAGGTCCAACACATCTACCCTAGCCAGCCTAGCCTTTGGGTTGACTTGGGTCAACCTCTAGGCTAGCCCAAAGAGGTCAAAACCACGTTGACCCAAGCCATCTCCCACCTCAAGGCAATTCAAACCCAATTTCCACTTGCATTGGGTGCACCAGAGCCTAACCAGCGTTTTTATATCTGACCCATAATCTGATTTGACCTGGGTTTAGCCCAAATGGACCCAAACCATACAGGTTTGGATTAACCCAAGCCATCCAAATGAGTTGGACTCCCTCATGTCCAATTGAGCTCATATTCGACCTATCGGCCTTTCCAGATCACATGGACTTAGACCCTGGTTGGCGACAACCAGAACCAATGGAGAATGAGCTTCAGTGGTCCCCCCCCCCCCCCCCCCCCCCCCCACTTTAAGCCTAATCCAAAGGCTTACAAAGCTTGGGCTCACTGGCTTCTATCTCATGAACCTCTAAAAGGATGTCCCCTTTCACTTGGAGTCCTTCTAACGGCCTGCCTAATCAATCCCCGCCGTCTGAGCTCACGAGAGTGACCTGAATAGGGGGGCAGTTCACCAGACATCCCCATTCAAATTTGATTCCCCAAAATCCCTCCCTAGAAGTCACACCT